ATATAGTCAATTTGTTCAATTTTAAGCGTACAGAAATTTAAATAAATTGCAATACAGTGGAAATAGATCATTGTTAAAATATAAAATACTGGCTTCATACATTTTAATCTTTTGAAGGAAGGCATCAGTTTTTTTCAGGTGTTCTTTTAAAGGTTATGAAATGTTTTCAGATGCCTTTATGATTTTGCATTGAAGGTTTCCCATCATGTGTGAACTCATGGAAAGGCAACTCTTCAATGTCATCTGAAGCACACTCATAGTTCAAATACTTTCTTCAGAAATTCTAGATACCTCAGGCAAGCTGGTTATTAAAAGGAGATACTCACCAAAGTTTCTTCCTAGATGTGTGTTTCATAAATTTAACTTTGAAGTAAGCGCATGCAATATACATGCATACATATGTATATGTGTGTGTATATATACATATGTAGATGTGTGTGTGTATATGTGTGTACACACATGTATGACAAAAAAAATTTGTCTCTCAAGAATTCTAAAGAAATAAGCATGGTATTGCCTTTTTATATAGGCTTTTTGAAAAATCTTTAAATGATTAAAGAAGTAGCAAGAAAACATATATGTAAGTCCAGTTGTTAATCTTTAAGGAGTTATTTGAGAGACTAGGCCTGCCTTCATTTCACACGACTATGTCACGTGGTTCTAGTTTAGCAGACTGAATCTAGAAGAAAGGATGGTATGTGTATTATAACGTCATTACATTCTACGTGCAGCTCCTAGCCACACGGTCCAGTAATATTTAACATCTGTTTGTTTGAAGTTTAATCAAATTTTTAAAAAGCAGCTGGCAAATAACAAATTAAATATAACAACAAATGAATAGTGGAGTGACTGTTGATAGCACTTTTGACAATATGAATGTGCCTAGGACTTGTTTTTTTTTTTTTTTTTTTTAAATATTTGTTTTCACAATTCAAGACCAAGCAGTGCAAGGCATTTTCACATTGATTTAAAAGTAGGCTAGACATGAGCAAGCTCTCCTTTAAAAAGTTTATTTGCATATATTGAAATCATTAAAATAATTGTTGTTGTTAAGTGCTCTCAAGTTAGTTCCAACCCATAGTGACCCTGTATAGAGTTTCCAAGGAGCGACTGGTGAACTTGAACTGCCAGCACCACACCAGGACTTCAATTAAGCCAGTAGTCCTGACATATCCCATAATGCTAAAGCAGAAGACTTAGTTGAAAGTGCTATTACCATGGCTGAACAATATGTGTCTCTATCAAGAATCATTGATACTTTCTTCTCCTTCCTTATATTCGCTGTTGGCAGTGAAAATGAAAAGGTGAAAAGTTTGGCCTTCTCGTTGGTATCATCTACTTTCGTGGTGCTGTTGCTGGGGGTGGTGGGGGCAGTCTTTATTACTACAAGCAGTTCCTACACAAAACCTAGGTAAACACTATAGATAGTCCATTCACTTTGGAAAGCCAATACAAATGGAAATAAAGAAAACCCCACACCATAAACTCAGTTATGGTCATACCCAATAAATTAAGAGCCAGGTAACCAGTTAGATAAATGTTCTCTATGATGTGGAATTGTAAGAACAGCACTGGACTGCTAACCATTAAGCCAGCAGTTCAAGCCCATCAGCTGCTCCTCAGAAACCCTGTATAGGGTTCCTATGAGTTGGAGCTGACTCAGTGGCTCTTAACAACAACATTAATAGAATGCATATTCCAAAATCCTGAAGAATTCACTTAGAAAAATTAATCACATTTTGATTTGTATTATACAAATATGTGGAATCCTGATGTGGTGCTATAGGATAAGCGCTGGATCGCAAGGTCAGTTTGAATAACAAGGTCGGCAGTTCAAACTCACCAGCTGCTCCTCAGAAACCTTGTACAGGTTCACTATGGGTTAGACCTGACTCCACAGCACTTAACAACAACATTGCAAATATTATGTTTTTGGTTATGGTTGTTACCAAGAACATGGTAGCCTTGGTCAACTGTTTTGATGGTGCTTCAGAGTAATACAAATTGTGGTAGCTTGGGGTAAAGTGATTGCTGTTGTTGTTAAGTGCTGTTGAGTCGGTTCCGACCCATAGCGACCCTGTAAGGGTTTCTAACCAATGACTGGTGAGCTTAAACCACTGACCTTGCAGTCCAGCGCTTTATCCTATAGCACCACACAAGAGTAGCAGGCACATTTCCTAATTTAAATGACAAGAAATAGCATTGGGTTCCCCAAAGCTTATCACTATGGAAAAATTGATGTTGTATTCACAGGCGCTTTGCTTGACAGCTGCACCTGTCCCTCGAAAGCATCCCATACATTCTAACTGGTCTAACATTCAGAGAAAGTAAGACATTTGTAGAAACTTCCTTCTATAATTTTGAAATGCTTAGCTACAGTTAAATGTTACTCTACATTAAGTAATTTTTTAAAAAAAGATAATTCCTACACAATTTTAATTAAGAGCAAAATGATAAAGGCAATCTTTTTTTAAATGATTTGTTGAAATTTAGTATGTGGCATTCCAAAGAGAAAAAATATCTCATCTCTTTTGTTTTTTAAAGGAACGCAAAAAATAAAATATTATACTTTAAGTGGTTTTGAGGTTGCAAATTTTAAAATCTCAAATTTGCAAATCTTAGAGCAATACACATGTAAAATAGTGAATAATCTTGATGAACCTAAGCTATATATCTACATAAGTTCTTAAAAGATAATTTAAAACATTTTGTGCAAGTAGTGAACATCTTAACTTTTGCGATAGGACCATTTTCAGCTGTTACTAAGAAGAAATTAATTGTTACAAGTTTGGTTATTTTTGTTTTGTTATTTATGTAATCATACTGACAGTGTCAAATATTGTGATATTACTATAAAATGATATGAATTATCTCTTCCTTCAAGACAGTACCCCCCTCTCACTCTGTCTCACAAATACACACACATACACACACATATACACACGTTTCTTTGGTAGTAAACCTGTGTGGAAGAGGAGTATTGCCTATTCTCAGTGTAATGAAAGCCAGAGAAAACTAGTAAATCACTCTAGGCATTCAAAATTATTAGACATTAAACTTTTGGAAGATTTTTATATGAATTCCTTTTATAAGAGTCAATATAATCTCTTCTGTGCTTATTTCTGTTGCATGTAAGAGACATTCTAGTAAGTGGCAAAACACTTTACTGCTGCTATTACTGCAGACTTTATAGATCAGAGATGTGTCAGCATGTTAGCTTTAGCAGTAATGCCTCTTTTGTGTGAAACCTTATGGGCCTTGCAGGCACTCTCTCATCCTGACACTCATAAAACATTCAAGTCCCCGTATTTATTACTTAATTTTCTTCCTATATATAGCAGCAGAGAACTTCAATATATGAATATGTAGCCAAAAAATGACAGGCAAGCGTGAATGGGACTAATGAGTTTTAATAATACACATATTAGGGACTGCTAAAGGAAGTTTAATTAAGAAAAACAAGTTGAGCATGAAATTCATTTTGGAACCAATGCAAGTTAAGTTCCTGCTACAGATGTAAAATCAAAAACCACAGTGACATATCATAGGAAATAAAGTTCCAGACTTAGACTAAACCGACATAATGCAGTTGACATCTTAGGACCTGCCTTGAAGTTGATGAGCTCAGATTTGACTTATGAAATAGAAAATATGTACTTTCTCACATTTTTAACGTTTCCATGGTATCTGTAACAATTATGGTTCAGTACTTTAACAGTATTTCCATCCACATTTTTTGTACATGATACCTGT